CACATTCTCGGGCGAAAGAGAGAAAGAGAAAAGCACTCGCACAATAAATACCCCATACCCATAAATATTGCATGAGTTGACTCAGATGACTTTCCCATTGTGGGCGGAAACTGCCGAGGGGCCAAAATAATAAATACAAAATGCGAGTGAATCACAAAGACTGCAGACGCAGGGAACAAATATTGCCGGAAGATGAAATTATGTGCAATTAAAGCAGAAAACTCACTTTCCATGCGACCCAAATTCAAATGGCAAGCGACATAATTTTTGACCTAAGACTCCAAATATTCTGTTATTCTGTTGTCAACAGCAGAGTTCACGGGGGGGTTAAATGGCACAGAATGAAGAGGTCTGCCCAAAAAAACTTGGTCCAATTAACGCACTCACTCAATTAAGTTGGAGGCATCTTATAACTTGACCTAGGGCAGGCACGCCCCAGACACAGCACTGAATTTAATTAGCCGCACATGACGAACTCTTCGCATTTTGTCTTTTTCCTCTGCAGCTGAATTCGACCGAGCCGCAGCCAGTGCCATTATTCCTGCCCGCTCATCTGAATAACAAGCCGATCTGCGACGACATTATCCGCAAGTTCTCACCCTCGAGGCGTCTGGAGTCACGAGAGCTCGCCAAGCTTCTCGCCCAACCGCATTTTCGTGTAAGTAGTCAAGGAAAGTGATTGGGAACTAGAAAATATTGCACAAAAGTTATTTATCTTACTTTCAATAGTCAACTTTTATTGTGACAGCAAAGTTGGTTTTAAGTAATCCTTTTAAATTCATATTTCCTGAAACCGACTTATTAAACCATTTTCTTTTGATAATATTATCTTTTAATTTCACGTATATTTTTAAATTTACTTCAGAAATTATTTCAACATCATCTAACGGATGTCAGCCACCTTATTTATTTATTCTTTTAAGATAGGGCTTTAGGGATTTTATTTTCAACATCACTAAACGGAAGTTAGTCATCTTATTTATTTATTTTTTTAAGATATGGCCTGCGTTTCAGAAGGCTTCTCTGTTTTGCTGATCTAACTCAATTTTAAAACCATTATCTTTTTGCAAAAGTTTGCAAGCAGATTGCTCTGCTAAAAGGAAAAGCTAAGCGAAAAAAATATACATTAAAAAATTTACAAATAAATTTATTGCTCAAAATTACAGATTCCAAAAATATATATTCGAATTCTTTTAATACTTGCATTTTTTTTTTAGATTTTGCTACTAAATCAAAATTTTTCAAAAGGAATGATTTTTAATGAAACTAATGTTTTGTATCTTTTTTTGAATCATATAATATTTAGTTAGTTTAAGTTAGACTTATTTTTAGCATATATGTGTAAGTAAGCATATCATTGTTGACTATAAATCAATAAATAAAATAGCATTTCCGATTTCAAAAATAAACTTTGAGGGATTTTTCTCTGTATGTTTTCCATATTCTTTTAATTTTAATTGATTTGAATGATTAAATAAACAAGATATATATAGATTTAAATTTTGTTTATATGATTATTTTAATAAACAATTTTTAATTTTATTTCAGGCTCTCTTGCGCGCCCATGATGAAATAGGTGCGCTTTACGAGCAACGACTGAAAGCTGCCGGCGGATCCACCACCCAACTAGAGATCGCCAGCCAACGCCAATCGGGTGGCTACCTGTTCACGGAGGACATTCTAAGCACCAAGATGCCAGTGGAGACCATCAAAATGGTGGGCCTGCGCCGCGATCCCAGCAAACCGCTGGGCCTGACCGTCGAACTGGATGAGTTCAAGCAACTGGTGGTGGCCAGGATTCTGGCAGGCGGCGTCATCGACAAGCAGGGCATGCTGCATGTGGGCGATGTGATTCTGGAGGTGAATGGCACCCCAGTCCGTACGCCCGATGACCTGCAGGTGGAGGTGTCGCGGGCCAAGGAGAATCTCACCCTGAAGATCGGACCCAATGTCGACGAGGAGATCAAGAGCGGTCGCTACACTGTGAGTGGGGGTCAGGTAAAGCAGAATGGCATCGCGGGTCTCGAGACGGGCAAGAAACTGACGGTAAGTTCGATGTCTGCTTGAAGAATTCTTTTTTTCTCCCAAAGATTGCTGCTTGCTTGCATGAATTTTGATTAGTTGGGAGGGCATTCTATGTAGTTGGGCTTGAGATTGTTTAAAAGTTTATTGAAAATTCAACAAATGAAATTAGAATTTTTATTATATAAATTACTGTTATTTGCTACGTTTCTATTTTAATATTTTTAATTAACTACATTGATCAAGATGATCAGCTGTTTTTAAAAAGAAATAAAAACATCTTATCATCTTTGATTCTTTACCATTATTAATTTGTGTATTCGTGGGTTTATTGTGCTAGCTGCACTTTTTTTAAGTACTGCTTACAACTTTTTATTTTAAAGAAAACCCAATTATAGTCGTAAAATATAACTAAATTAATATTGGTCAGTCCTAGAACGAAATTCCATCAAAATTCTCGAATCGCTTGCAACTAAGTAAGTAAATCTTGGCTTGGTAACCAAAAAGCAGTTGAAACCTTAACTTAATTTTAATGGTTAATTTATGTTTTAACAACAGTGCTATATGCGTGCCTTGTTCACATACAATCCCTCGGAGGATTCATTACTGCCATGCAGGGACATTGGTTTGCCCTTTAAATCGGGTGATATTTTGCAGGTAAGTTGATATAAACAAAATACTATATTCCAATCAATATAATCTCACTATCCCCAAAAGATCATTAATGTCAAGGACCCCAACTGGTGGCAGGCTAAGAACATTACTGCCGAATCGGATAAAATTGGTCTTATACCATCTCAAGAGCTGGAGGAGCGACGCAAAGCTTTTGTGGCCCCCGAAGCGGATTATGTTCACAAAATTGGCATTTGCGGGACGAGGGTAAGTTTACCCATAACGCTTTTAAATCATGACCTAGTTAAACATTATACCATTTCCTTTTAGATCTCGAAGCGTAAGCGAAAGACCATGTACAGATCGGTGGCCAATTGTGAGTTCGACAAGGCGGAACTTTTGCTCTATGAAGAGGTCACCCGGATGCCTCCGTTCCGCAGGAAAACCCTGGTCCTCATCGGCGTTTCCGGAGTGGGAAGACGAACGCTCAAGAATCGTCTGATCAACAGCGATGTGGACAAGTTTGGAGCAGTAATTCCACGTAAGTGTACTTTAATGATTGTATATGTATATAGAATTGTTCAAAATTCTATAATAGTTTTAGCTTTCATAACATAGTGTTACAATGAAAATTTAAGCACAGTTGTAACTTATTGTTATTAACTTATATATTATTATAAGTTATTATTTTTTAGTTTGTTTTGCTTTGTTTAGATTTGGAATTAACATAAATCGAAATGCAGTCTTTAAAATGTAAAAAAAAAGGTTCCAACAATTTATTCCATATTTTTAATACTTTTGCTTAAAGTTTATTACCGTTTGTCCATTATTAATTAAGGCAGAAACACTGAAGTCTGTAGTTAAAATTGCAGTCAACAGATTTATGAATCGGACTTATACTATTCAATTTAATTATTAAGGTTTTTAATAATAATTGACTTAATTACTTACCCGCTACAGATACCAGTCGTCCCAAGCGCGCCTTGGAGGAGAACGGGACGAGCTATTGGTTTATGGATCGCGAGGAGATGGATGAGGCCGTGAAGAATAACGAGTTCTTGGAGTACGGCGAGCACAATGGCAATCTGTACGGCACCCATTTGCAGTCCATCAAGGATGTGATCAACAGCGGGCGCATGTGCATCCTGGATTGTGCCCCAAATGCCCTGAAGATCCTGCACAACAGTCAGGAACTGATGCCATTTGTCATTTTTGTGGCAGCGCCGGGCATGGAACAGCTCAAGACGATCTATGCGGATCGCCGGGCCACGGGCTCCAATAGGAATCTATCAGTATGTTTGACATAGTACCCTTAGATTTGGCACTCCTATAATCCGAGCACGTTTTCCACAGTTCGATCGCCAGAGTTCCATTAGATTCAGCTCCAGACGTGCCCGTACGCTTGAGTCCCTAGCATCGTTGTATGAGGTAAAGTTGCCCAATGACCCAATGCTAAGAGAAATACGTATAAAATGTGATCAATTCACTCATCCGCTTGGTGCACCTAGGCCACCCTAGTAGCCCTCTTAGATATCTGCCTGAATACCCAGACATTGCTTAACACATTCGATTTGTATGGTTATATTCAACAGGACGACGACCTGGTTGCCACCGTCGAGGAGAGCAGCTTTGTCCAGCGAAAATACGAGAAATACTTTGACATGGTCATCGTGAACGAGGACTTTGATGAGACATTCCGTCAGGTGGTGGAAACCCTCGATCAGATGAGCCACGAGGAGCAGTGGGTGCCCGTCAATTGGATCTACTAAAAACGAAACTCTAAACATAAGCTATTGCAAATCGCCTTCCTGCTTATAGAGAAAATATATACAACAAAAAATCTATTGCCTATCATCACAATAAAAGGGATTATTTCAGTAATTGAAGATATAAAAATTACAGCGCACTACAAAACTAACAAAAAAAAAACAATCAATTTCCAATAAAGATTTGAAAACTCTTTCACGATTAGCTCAGTAATATCTGTTAATTCCAAAATCAATTACTGCTATTTTCCTCTTTTAATATCAAATATGTATATATGCAATGTTTTGTATAATTTGAAAATCGCCCTCCGTTTACAATTCAGTTTGCCTTAAGTATAAGTCTAATTTTACGAAACGATTTCGTCCATTTTAAAATCTCTTATTGTTTTATTTATACATACATAATGATTTATGTCGATGCATATCTCTTCAGTTTATAATTTTAACGAATCTCCTCAGTACAACAATCCTTTCTGCCAATATTTCTTGTAGTTTTTAGACTTGTTTGAATAAAGTGTATAAGTTTAACGAACTAGTTGAATATTGATGTGAAGTAAAACAAATAAAATACAAATAAATTTGGCTCAAAGAAATGCGAGATTTTGTTATCCTTTAGCCAGGGCACCAAAATAAATTTTATTAGCTGAATATTAACTGTTAGAATGTGTGGGTTGAATGCCAAGCATTTAAGCAACTATATTTATGAGGATTTACTGGTGAATGCCAAGTGATTTCTCCACCACAGCGTGGGGCTGACGCATTTGCTCGCTATACTCGGGTAGATTCATAAAGTCCTCGAAACCAATGGAGTCACAGCGGCCAGTCAAAACATCATCCATGAAGTTACTGCAAGCAATAATTAGACAATTGAGAAAGAAAGTCTGATGGAAATCAAAAAACGTTTAGTTAAACAATAATTTCGTAAAATGTGTGTTGATGTTCAGAAACCAATTGTAAACCAATTTTGAATTTGCAAAAATATTATAAATTTGTTCTATTTATCCTAGAAAAAAATGTAAGTGAAACTTAGATTTGCATTTGCATAAATTACATTAAACAATTTGACGAGCTGGTATTGCGCGGATAAAACCATATCTAGATATTTAAGTATATTAAAGTATATTGTTTGCAGAATCTTTTTCTCTCAGGGTTTACAAAGAAAGTTCAACCATTTTTTCTCTAGACTACTTCTTATACAATTATATCCTATTGATATCCTAATTAAAAATGTATATTGCAGCCGAGAAGTCGACATTTATGATCACAGCCATATCATTATCAAAAGTTCAGTTTTTTATAACCCTTGCAGCTATTGCAAAAAATAAATTCTCTTTAAAAAATCTTTATTTCGATTTATATGCGTATATGTTTATAAACATTGAAGCTATTATGCTGCTGATAAAAAGACATACTTCAAAAAAGACATTTTCGAAAAAATCGATTTAAAGTTTTTCATACGTGAACTATCTAAACTATTGAAAAATAATAAAAATAAAAAAATTGTAACCCCCCCTTTGAAGGGGCTTCAACATTTTTTAATGGAAAACTATTTATTAGTTGGTTTTATACGGAATCTTTTCAGTCTGATTAATGACTTACGTTTTTGTTATTAAATGACTTAAAGGATGTATTAAAAAGAATGGTTATATTTGACACTTCCAACTTATATCTGAATTGTCAATTAATTAATTAATAGCAAAGACAGAAAACAATAAAACGGCTGATTATAAACAGGTCTGTTGTCAACTACACTAGAGATAGAATTGTAAACTAGATCTTTTGTGAAACATTTGGAATGATGTTGTTTCCCTGTGATAATACAGCTACCTAGTTATAATACAGATTCCCGGTAATGATAGGGATCCTATGACTGGTGTTGTATTGGGCTTGATTATGGTTCCCTGTGAAGATGAAGGGATATTCCCTGGGATGACAAACACTTACCTGGACGGAAGGAAGGGCAGACGGCCCACCTGGCGGGCTGCGAATCGCTCCATTCCCATTTTGAGGGGCACGCCGAGTCCCTCGCGGTTGCGCAGCATCTGCATGTTGAGGTTGTACTGGTGCTCATTGTAGTTTAGCTCCGAATCGCGCAGCCGGTGGACATGGGCCAGTTGGTTCAGGCAATTGGCCTCCGTGGGCATTCCCACACGGCCGGTGGCATTCAGTACGGACACCTCTGCGGGCTGCACTTTTAGTGATGGCTGATACTGTATCGCGAGGAGTTATCACTTCATTAGCACCTTTGTTAAGAGGACAATCCCATTTACTCACCATCTTGTCTCTTCTTTTATTTTTATTTTCGATTTTTCAAAGAGAATCTAGTGATTTACAAAAACTCTTGTTGGATGACAAACAAATTCTGTTGGAGATGGAAGGCGGAGAAACATCGATGCCAACATCGATATCATCGATGTTTCTTTTTTACATCGGTCTTATCGATGTATAGCAGGGACATCGATATTTATCCATCTCTAAATAGTTATGGTTAATGTCTTAGCTAGCTGCTTAGCACTGGCTCAATCCATTTTACTTCACATTCTTATCTGGACTCAAACCGTATTCGTACATGGGAAGTGCGGTAAATTTGAATTTTTACCTTAGATAAGAAAAGATATAACTAACAAAAAAAAAAATTCGGAATAATTTATGATTAATTTTTTTTTAAACCTATATATGTTAATGTGCAATTCTGGGCTAATTTAACTTTTAGATTTAAACACATTTTAATGAATAAGCCAAAACAAAATGTAAGAAGCGTTTATCTTGTTGTTCTATGTAATTCGAAAACAAGCTCTTTTTCAATAATTTTGCTCTACATCGGTTTATATATTTTGGAATCAAAATATCATTACTTTTTTGAGTTAGTGTGTCCTGTAGTGTCCTGTATGTAGCTCCAAAAGTATTTATCCCATCAATTTAAATATTTGGTAGATGTTCTAGGCATACTCTACAAATTAAAAAAAATTTAATTGCGTACAATGCAATTATTTTTTGTCCATTTTTAGTAACATTTTTGTTTGTTTTGTATAATTTTTGGACTGCCATCCGTCACTTTAATTCAATTTAGTATTGATAAGTAAAATTTGGTCTATGTAAATTTGTTTTATTAGCGCGTTTAGCACATTGGTCAAGTGACGAACTTGAGTGTTGTGATTAATTACACCCTCGCCTGGCCGGCAACGTATATACAGTATATACATATATCGAACTCGCCCGCAGCTCTAATCAATTCGATAAACAAAAGAATTGCTGGCAGGCCCGGTGCGTTGTTTTCCTTTTCTCGCCCACACCTTTTAGCGGCTTTTATGATCTTCTGCTCCACAGAGACGCGATTCATTTGCATCGAGTGACAAGCGCGAACGAATGCGAACCCCCAAATAACACGACAGAGCTTAATTAGTGCATGGTCACTAATAAAGATTTCGGTCAGTGGATATTGTGTTAATCAATCCCCCGCACACAATAGACACAAACTGTCTCCGGGAGATCCGATCCTATCCAATCTGAACTTGAAACCGAAAGGCAGCCAAATAAAAACAATAACCGGATGGATCTGTAGCTTCGTTTTAAAGTGGAATAGCATATTTGCCAGTCTGATCTTAAGCGGAAACTCATTTTGTTTGTTATTTATGATTTCGATATTTTGATGTAGAACATTCTAAATTAATAAATGGAGTTATGATTCCGCCTTCATATTTGAACCAGAAATGTATTTAATTTTTTGATGATTAAGTACATGCAGTATAAATTTATTGGCACAACATTTATATAATTATTTTGCAGTATTCACGTTCAATAAATACTTGTGTCATTGATTGACTTAATTAATTAATTTAAATCGGTATAAATAATTTAAAATACAAATATAAATACAGAAAAATTAAAGTTCTAGTTTTTGATAAACTTAATTGACAGTGTTGAAATAATGTACACATTTTATTGTATTAATTTTGTTCTTTTATCACCATTATTTTTAATGAATGAACACTTTATTTAGAAACTGACAATTTGATAAGGGAAAATAATCAAGCAGACAATTCATAAATTTACAATAAGAATATCAGAACGGTTATATTTATGGCGTCTAGCTGATAAAAAAATATTCGATTATGTTTTAGATTTTTTTGTTAATTTGAGATGTACATCTACGTTCAATTTTGATGCAACTTTTTTATATGAATTAAAAAAAAGGTAATTCTTTTTTTTTTTCTTTATGTCCAATAATGAATGATGAGGAATTTAAAATATCAATAAAAGATATAAGTTACCTTGACTCATACAAAATCTTGAGTATTTTTGAAATATTTTTCTTATTAAACACTCCTTTTTCTTTCCCCTTCAAATCTTTTTCGACAATTGATTTATGGCACTTACTTTCCGTTTTACGGCCTTCACCAATTAATACATAGTAGACAAGTCTGGAGCGAATCAACCAATTTACCCAGTCGAATATATGGATATATGGATGAAAAGAGTCAACTTTGTATGGTCGGATGAAGATCTCAGGGCGAAAAGATCGAAATGTAAAAGTCAAATAAAAGTATAACGTCGAGAATTAACATTTTTTCACAGCAATAAAAGCATAAAAGTCGAAGATGTATACAAAAAAAAAAAATAAGGAAAGACATAGGTGCAACTAGAGGGGGGTCGATCAGATCAGGGGAATTCTTTTAAAAACCGTTTGTTTGTACTGATATTCTCTACCCCCATGGTTTTTATATGTGCACTGAGATAAATCTAAGAAAATTTAAGAATGAAACATATTATTTCGAATCTGAAGACCGAAATATAACGATTAAAATACCATTTTTTATTTTAAAAAAATATTTCTTTTAAAAACTTTTAAGTAAAATATTAAGTTTAAAATCATCACTTTGATGTCATTCCAAGATTAGATTTGTATTTTTATTTTTGTAAAAATGGTTTTGCTTACAATTACCTATTTTATATTTAAAACTAAAGTTGCTTAAATAGAAATACCGCAAAAAAACAGAATTGAGTTCTATTGTGTGTTCGCAGTTAAATTTCAAAAGAGAAAATTATTTGCTAACTAGATTTGGGATGTCTTGATTTCGCTTAATGCATAAGTACACCCATTTATGTATGACGTATATATATATAGTGTAAAATTTATAATCTTTTGCAGTCGTTCTCCACTGGATGCTGGCCAACGTTCGCCATTGTCGTCACTAATAGAGACATACAACGACCACTGGGAATTGATCACGGATCGAAAGAGGAGGAGGCTTCGTTAACGGCAGAAAAAGTTTGAATGTTTCGTTACTTTTCTCGGCTGCCATAAACTTTTATGGCTGCAAGACTCGGCGGAAGACGAGGACAATGGATCGGGGATCAGAGACGTGGAACAGGGAGCAGCTGTAAGCAGCCGTCGAGATGATTGGGCATTATGCCGGACCAGAGTCCGGGGCTATTCGGTATCTTTCTTTTTTTTTTTATATCCATAGGGGTCGCTGCCGCTTTGACGATCCTCCTCCCCATGGGTGCCAATTAAGATACGAGGAAGAGGGGTGGAGCTGGAGCAGGGCAACTGCTCTGGACCCTATTAGCAGCCATATTGCCATGCACTGAGAGGTCATAAAGTGAGCCACAAAAATAGAAGGCATACATGTTTAACTAAAACAATGGATTATAATAACAGATCTTTACTACTATTTGTTATATGTATAGATTAAACTTTATTCAATGGCGATATTAAATTAAATTAAATTAAAAATAGTGGTGATAGTTCCGCTTATCATGTATAAACATAAAACTTATCTTAAAATTAGCGTTTGGAAATATGTTTTCAGGGTTTCTTAAAATAATTTAAGTACAGAAAGAAAGAAAGAATAAAGAATCATATAATTATGGCTTTTCTGTTTGCATTTTTGTGATCAACCATTTTGCTGTAATCTAAAAAAAACGCTTTAAATATTATATTAATAGCTAATAATTAATTTTAAAAGTTTTTGAACTGCTTTATAAAGCTATATATTTTATCCTCTTTTTTGCTGTGCATGGTGGCCATAAAAGTTATATCCCGTTCGTGAGTGATCTGAGTAAGATCGCTCCGTACGTTTTATGGTCCCCATTCGCTATGATCCCGATCCCCTCCGCGCCATTGGACAACTGCCTTCCCATGAAACCAGATACATCAAGCCATAAATCAAGCGGCTGAGTGAGAGATGCCCGATTGCGTGATCCATTTTATCCATTTTTGAGAATGTCCAGGACATGTTTGGAAAAGAAATGGCGGACGCAAAACATAAGCTGTGAATTCGGCGTAATTTTGGCAGCGGCATTGTGTAATGCAGTAGCCAAGAAAAATAGAGGGTAGACGACAACAAGCAAGGCGTCGGCAAAAGTCAAAAAACCATTTCGTTACGCCAGGATGACCAAAGGCCAGCGACCAGAATGCAACGGGTTTAATGGAACGGGTTGAGTGGCAGAGTTCCACCAAATCGGAGAACGGACATATACATAAATACCTAAATATATCTGCCGATCTCTCGACATGTGCATTTGGCGTAACAGAAACAAATGCAAACACACACTGCAGTCGTCCGCTCCCAATTTGGTATATCTTTTTTTTAGCGTGTAGGTGTGAAAACGTCGTCCACTTCCTTTATCTGGGGGTATATTTTTCATTTTTTTTGTTTTATTTCTGGTTACTGGTCTCCCCGGGGTTTTTTTTTTTTTTTGCATCTTCGCTTACATAAAAGTCAAAATATTTTTGGTGCGAAATAAAATAAAACCCAGACGCTGTTTTAATCTTAAAACGTTTTCTGACTCGGTCACGGTTCCCAGTTCTCTTCGCTTGGAAACGCGTTGTATCAAAATCTGGACAGGTTGTATATTTCTCTTCGCATCGGCTTTGACATTTCCGATTCTGCTAATCGCAAGCCCTATAAATCAACCCTCAAGAGCCCCAGCCAGGGTAAAACTGCTTTGCTATAGTGAACTAGACTATAAGTGCTAGATGTGTACTATATGCTCCTATCGTCTGGCACTTCAGATCGCCCTGTTTGTTGTGACGGGCGACAAGTCAATGGGTTTGTTCCTTTGCATTCTACATAGTGCGACTGGGATTTTAATGAAGGTTCCATTTATTGCCAATTAAATTGTAGCTACAAATGTTACCTAAGTATTGGTAATAAATTTAAATTTAAATTTTAATATGTTGCAATCAAGGTATAGCCTATGAAGATTTTTACTATCAGTATTATTTTTAAGGATTTTCCATGCAGCCGATTTTAAATCATGATAGTTCTTATATTCTTATCCAATTATTCAGTTTTAAGAGTTCTACTTAACTCAAATTTAACATGTCATAATCATAATCTGATTGTATCTAAAAATATATACAACAAATCGGTTTTCGA